GTATGATCATATAATGTGACTAAATCCCCATGATTTTCATATATAGTACTTAGTTATTTCTCCTCTTGTTTTGTCTATCTTATCTTGTCTTGTGTTAGTTTGTATACCCAGTCCATGTACAGTCCTGTCCTGCCCATGTTATGTTCATGTTTCCCTCGTGTCTTGTGTACATGTTCTGGGTTTAGCTTTCTATCCTTTTCTGGGTTCTATTAGTTCTGTCTTGTTTTTCATGTTTGGTGCCTATCTCTAGTCTTGCCTTGTTTCTGTACTGGATACAAACCTGCTGTAGAGCCTCCCTATTCAGCTCCTGGGAGGTCTGCTTATGTCCTGCTTCTAGTTCCTGGGATCCGTATAAGCTGAATCAGGGTTCTGGTATGTGGCTGCACAAACGCTGATGCTCAACACCAGGGGGTGTGTGGTTACCCTGCACCAGACTCTGCTAATCCACCTCCACACTCTGACTCCTACTCTGAACATCAGGCATACTGGGGCCCGGTCCTCGCACCGCTGCCCGGATAGTGTCTGGGTCCTGGGCACTGGGCCGCCACCCTGACAGTCGCATGCTGCTGTATTGTCTGTATAGCATTTTACTGCCTGTCCTTTCCAAAAGTGTCCCCACACTTGGACTGCTGCCACTATTGGGTAAATATTGAAAAGAGTGTTGTTAAATGATGGTGAAGTTACTGTCTCTATTGGCCATGCGTCTCTGAACCATTTGTTTCCGAATATGGCTGCGTAACCTGAGTGGCCTGCTGCGTCTGTCCATAATACTGGGGAGTTCCCTGTAAAAGGTGGTATGAACAGATTAATGCCATTCCAGTGAGTCAAAAATTGACTCCACATAGACAAATCTGCCTTTTCCTGTCCGTCCAGTGTGACTACGCTTTGGTCGTTTGGTAGTTTTGGTAACAGACTGAGTAGTCTGGATATGAATGTGCGTCCTTGTGGGATTATTCTCATGGCAAAGTTCAGAGAACCTAGGAGGTCTTTCCAAGTCGTAGTTCCTCTGCTGAGGAACCACTCTACCTCTGTCCTTATTCTCTGAACTTTGTCTACGGGGAGAATTGCCTGCATGGTGACTGAGTCTAGGCATATGCCGAGGAAAGACAAACTAGTGAGGGTCCTACAGTTTTGTCCGTGGCTGCTGGTACTCCTAATGTTGAAAAGAGTGCTACTGTTTTTGTTATGCTAAGTGGTGTTTCTGGGTTTTCTATGGTCAGAAAGTAATCTAGGTAGTGAATTATGACTAGACAGCTATTGACATTCAATAAGAGCCAACAAAGTGTTTCTGCGAATATGTCCAATAATTTTAGGCTACTCTTTGCCCCAAAAGTTAGACGGTTGGCGAAATAGTAAAGGCCTTTCCATTTTATTCCGTGCAGATGCCACAGTGATGGATGTATTGGAAGTAGTTTGAAGGCGTTTTCGGTTTCGGTTTTCCCCAGCCAAGCTGCCTCCCCTGCCTCCAGGATTGCCTGTATGGCATTGTCTACCATGGCCTACTGCAAGGAAAATTCCTCGGAAGGTATTAGTGAGTTTAGGCTTGGTATGACATTTTTATTGTTGTCTTTGCCTGTTGCGATGTCTATCGGGTTGGCTCGCCAACATGAGAATGGTGGTGTTTGGAATGGCCCGATCATAAAGCCTTTTTCCACTTCTGTGTTTAAGAGTGTGTCTTCTGTTGTAGGGTCTATTGTTGCTGACAGTAAGTTGTTACGTTCGATAGTGCCTACCAGTAGTGCAATCAACCCTGGATGGAACCCTTGCGTGAAACCCATGATTAGGAACTGAACAAGGTCTTGTGATGGGTGAGCGTTGAGGCAGAATGCAAGTTTGTCGACCTGTACCTCCGTTAGTCATATTTTGAGAAAGAGACAGTTTGGGCACATAGTCTTGGCGTGGGCTCGAAAACAGATGGAGACATGCAACAACCTGCAGGTACTGAAACTGCAACCCCCTGCGTTGAAGTTGTTGCAAATCTGAGCCTTCACTAAAAAGGCTATTGGTCTCCCCAGCTTTCTTTCAATTCTTTTTGTTCATATGTGCTTGTGCTAGGGGTGGTGTAGCTAGTGGTGTGTAAACTAGGCTCGTTGGCGCACAAATTGGTAACAGAGTTTGAAGAGCAACTTGCACAAGCCGGTGGCACCCGCCTAGCGAAGTGGCGACAGAACAACTTAGTGTCCATTTGGCTCCAGTCTATCCTGATATTGAACTGTGCAAATGTTGCCGCAACCTTGGCTGAAAAAGACTTGTGGTAATCGAAAATGTGGTGCCACCGTACTTGTTCCCCAGGTCTACCAATTTATGCATGTATAGGTCTAGTTCCTCTCTGTGCTGGGGGAAATTAAAGCAAATATGTCTCTGTCCAATCCAAATTCTATTATGATGTCTGGAATGGATAGTTTTTTGTTTAGTCTGGGATCTTTGGCCTTGAGCACCACTAACAGGTCACCGTAATCGTATGTTTTATTTTAGATTATGTCTTGGGATGCTATCAATAGGGATATTAGGTTTACGTCCTTTCCCTCCAATATGTCTTTCTTAATGTTAACTTCATAGCCGAAATGTTGGGGTTTTCATTTCTCCTGCTCTTGGTCAGTATACCTTTTGTGGTTTTGGTACTATAAATTGGTTATGCACTATGCTATGTACTTTTTTTTTATGTTAAGACATTTTGATGTACTCTTTATGCATGAATAAACACTTTTCTTATGTGCAAACCTTGGTGTGCCTTGGGATCATTATTTTTTCTATTAATGTTGGGAGGGACCATGTGTGCGGGTGTGATGATATGTGTAGCGGAACCCTGTGTGGTTGGTGTGGCGGTGACATTACCCTGTGTGATGATTTGTTCAGTGGTCAGTGTGGGAAGGAGATCTGTGGGAGTTACAGTAGCTGGTGTTGATGATTCCAGCTTCTCCATCCTTTAAATTTAAATTATTTATGGATGACAGAATCAAAACATTGTGGCCTGTATCCCAGTTAGGGTGTCGTTTATATTGACTTGTGTACTTGTCCCTGGTTGTGGATTATCAGAATTGGATATCATGAGTCTATATAATTCCGCCTTTCTGGCGGTGGCTGGGTATGGTATACCCCTACGCCTTAGTACTGAGGCGATCTTTGGGATGGAGCATGACCTTAAGGAACAGGGTCTTGAAGGGTCTTGGTTTTCATCTGCAGTAGGGGTTGTGGTTGGTGTGGGTGGTCCAGCTGGTGTGCTGGGCAGTGAGAAGTCATCTCCTTGGTCTAACAAGTGAGCCATACTATAATGACATTAAAATGAGACTTATGATTATACTGTTACTGGCGTCTGTTTTAATGCTGGGTGGCGAAGAACTTATCTATGCTTGGGATGGTGAGGCCCTGCTAATTGCCAAGTGGCTGGTAGAGGCGCTGTCTATGATTTGGCTCTGTGCTGTGAAGCTTAAGAAAACAGAGGGTAGGGAAAGTGACGCCCTAACTACTCCTTTTAGTAGAGTGTTGTGAGACTCTAGCTGTGATTTGGTCCGATGGGCGAAAATACCTCTGTGTGAGAATGGGTGTCTCGCAGCAATTTCAAATTATGCTCCTGAGTTTTGGGCTGTTCTAATACCCTAGCTCCAAAGTAACAATACGTGGACAGAAGTTAAAAAAGGAAATAGCATACCTGTGATCTTTTAAGGGATCTTATATCTTGATGGGGTGTCTGATTGGGCGGTATTTATCCCCTGTTGGAAATAAAAACTGTGGTTGGTACTATACTCCGACTGTGTAACTGATTGGAATTTGTTACAAAAAGTGGTGCATACCTGGGTATATAGATTCTCCTCTTAAGGGTTTGTGATTATGGTGGTATTACTTCTGAACCTAGCAGATTGAGGGATCGAAGTGAATTTTTATATTTAAATTTACACAATATCGGCGTGCTTCTGTTAAACTATTTACTATGTGTGCCTATGAATTCTGTGAGCTGTTACGTATGATGTTAAGTGTATTAGTCGTTCTTGTACGTTTGTGGTCAGAAACCGGTTTAACATTGAATGTAACTTACAAAATGAACTGGTATGTTTAGTTTTAACTGAATTAAAGGTAGTTGTACAAAGTTTTCTATGAGAATTATTGTGTGTGGCGAACTGTACCTCGTCACGGGTTATTGGAGTGGCATACTTGCCAGCCTCTTACCTTGTGACTATGGCCCCTGTGATAAAACTTGGTTTAAATCACCGGTTGTGCCTTTTTGGACTTATGAAGCAGCAGTTTGAATTGTTAACACCAAGTATTAAATCACTTGGAAAGCTTATTATATTGAGGCCAGTGAAGGATACTTAGTTTTCCTTTTCTCAAACAGTGCTAAATACCCATTACTTAGTTACTCACCCATCGCCAACAACCACACATTTAATATACTGCATAGCTGGGATAACCAGATGAACGATCTATGCTTGAAGGCTGCAGATACCACACTGTGCTAAAGTGAAACCAACTTCCTGAGAGGGATGTACTAAAAGGAATGACTTGAGGGAGTGACATAATAAAATTGCAATAGACATTAGCCTGAAC